TTGGTTTTAGTCATTTTTATACAATTCATGATAGTCTGACTGAGATATTTAAAACAAATGCTTTGTTTCATGAGACATACATTTTAATAAAATGTAATATACCTGTATGAAAGAGAGGATAAAAACGTTACCACCATTATGATCATCATTGATCATATATTTTATTAAAAAACTGAACCCAATCACATAAATTATTCTGTCAATAAAATATTTTATTTACAAATTGGAAACAGCACAAGCTTTGAATATATAATATGAAATGCACAGTTCAAATAGAAACAGTGTAGCTTCTTTTAGACTGTTGTTCTTTTGTCCACTTTATCAACATGGCCGTTCACCCAGGTGCTCTCTGGATCAACACAGAACTCTTTGCCTGCTTTTGTCTGAAACCTGATGGGAAAGAGACAAAAATAAGATTTAGGTCAAAGTTTTTTTTTTGTTTTTTTTAATTAAGTTCTTCACAGATTGAATTTACAGTTTGAAAATGAGATCATGTTGATGATACTCACACAATAGCGCGTCTGGCACAGTTGCTGCTGGTCCAGTAGAAAGACACCACCAGTTTCACAGGAATCTTCACCTTAGAGAGCTCTCCACAGCACGTTGAATGTGCCTCATCAAGTGCAATGGTAGCTGAAATATGAAGAAATAAGACAAAAGTTTTCAATTTGATCATGTTGCCACATTTGAAATCATCAGTTGCAACAAATTCAATACATTTTGTCTTCATTCCAAAAATGGAAAAGAGCACTCACCGTTTGAAGTCGTCTGCTCAGAGCAGAAGATCACCAGGAACAGCAAACACATCAGGCTTCTCATTCTTCAAGATGTTTCTTCACAATGACAAAGAATCTGTAGAAGTTCTGTAGAGCTTGAGGATCTCACAGCTGATGTGTCCAGAATAATGTCTGAGCACCTTCTTATATACATGGTCAGAGACATATTCCTCATAAAGACATTCATGCAAATCCATTTCTGAGTATCAACATTGTAGAATGAGAGTTGTTTTTACCTCTTCCTTTTCCTCATCCTTTTTCTGCTTTGTTGCTCATCTGAAAATGTGGCAAATAATTTTCTTTCAGATTCACTGAAAATGTGCTTCAGCAAAACAACACACAACTTCTGCTTTTCCGGGCCTGTCAAGTTCAACGTTAAATTAACTAAGTCTGAAGATTTTGTGATCAAATCTGGATTGTGCTGTCACCAAATATCAGGTGCTAAACCTTTACCCCTTACTCACGTATAAACCCAAAGACCTTGATTAACTGGTTCAGGTGTGTTTGATTAAAGCAATAACTTAAGATGTTGGACCACCAGAAACAGGACCGAGAACCCCTGCTCTAAGAAAACAAACCACTTGTTTCTAGTGACACTTGTTGGTCTAACAGAGAAGTTAGAATAATTCAGCCACCAGTTAAACAGATTTTTTTTAACAACCATTTTTATGTTCAAACATTGTCATACAGTTTAAGACAACAGTTTAATTAACTCGATACCCTTAAAAAAAATACAGCAATAACATACTTATCGATATACTCTCAATTTGGATCAATTCCACAAAAGAGTCACCATCTAGACTCTCTAGAATGTCATAGAACACTTTCCTGATGGACCAAAATACATGGCTTGTTTTCCAAAAAATAGGTCATATTTTCTAAGGCAAGGCATGAGGTCATCCCCTTTTATCCATTGAGACACACCAGGACTTTGTTTTTTTCCCCAAGAACATGCAATTACACGTTTAGCTTCCAGCAACCAGACAATTAACAACAATCTTTCATGTTTGGTGATTTTAAAATTCAGAGGACAAAAATGTAATATACACAACCTGGGATCAAGAGGAATTACTTTACCAATGATTTGACTTATAATATTTAATATTTAACCCCAAAACCATTAACTTCAGTGCATTCCCACATATAATGGAATAGAGTTCCCTTCTCTTGTTTACATTTTTAGCATTTCTCAGGAATATTCAGGTTGAAGTGATATAACTTAACTGGAGTGATATATTGTCTACGCAGCCATTTATACTGAAGCAGTCTCAAATGGGTGCTCATTGTCTGAGTTTGGGCTTTTAAAAATGCTATTTGCCACTCTTCCTCAGTTATATCAGCCTGCAGGTCAGACCGCCATGCTTGAAGTCAGGATTCACAGAATTAAAATATGCAAATGTTATAACAGGAAAAGGGCAGCTTTTCATTTACAGTTAGTTAATGACACTAAGAAAAAAATGTTGTGATCTACTTAAGGGTTTCCATTCACTATAAAATGTTATAGGTATTGAGCTTTTGGCATTTTTCAGACTTGGGAAAGTCTTGTACATGTAGTTCCGGTTACGTGCACAAGTTCTCAAGAGGCCAAGTGCGAGTATCGCAGGCCCAAAATGTATGCAGTAGAAGATAACAAATTTTACTACATCAATGTAATTTTATTATTTACATTTTATGTAATAACTGAACTCAAACACATAAATAATTTCATTAAAAATATCACATACATATGTGCAGGGGTTAATTGTCCTATTAGACTGTTGTTCTGCTGTCCACTTCAGCAACATATCTGCTCACTCCTCTGGATCTACACAAAACTCTCTCCCTGCAATTGTCTTAAACCTGAAGATGAATTTTCACATTAGTGATCTCTCCACAGCACTTTGATTGTGCCACATCAAGTACTAAAGCTGAAATAGCCCAAATCAGAAAAATATCATGAATCTGTGTGATCATGCACAAAAAAAGAAGACAAAAGTTTTTGAGAATATTGGTATCTATCTATATTTTCAAATCACCAAGTGCAACACTAAATTGCAACAAGTAAAACTGAGACTTACTTAAATAATCTGAAAATGATTCAATAATGAAAGTCTTATTTTACAAAAAGAACCCTCACCACTTGAGGTCATCTGCACAGAGCAGAAGAGTACGGTGGCCGAGAGAGCTCAACGCGCTGCAAATAGAAAAAAACACCTGCAAATTAAGAAAACAACTTCATCAATTTGACAACACACGCGCTGCAAATGCTCACAACACAACCAAATAAAGAAACGCAATGCAAATACTCACAACACAACCAAACAAAGAAACGCGCTGCAAATACATATTTGGTTGTGTTGTGAGCATTTGCAGTGCGTTTCTTTATTTGTTTGCGTTGTGAGATGAAGATGTTTTCTTGATTTGCTGGTGCTTTTTCCATTTGCATGTGTTTTCTGAAGTTGCAGCACGTGGAGCTCTCTCGGCCACCGTAGAAGAGCACCAGAAACAGCTCAGGCTACACAGTTACAAAAGCATGAATAAAATAGTATACTTAACATTTTCATTTCATTTATTTGTCAAAAATATTCACATTCTATTGCTTCTACACTTGATTACATTAACATTGCCTTTTTTAGTTAATATTTAAATGCTTAACAGATCTGGTATTAACAAAATATTGAAATTAATATTTCAATATTATTAAATTCAACTGTATTTCACATATTACAGTTTTTTCTCAGTTGCTTTGATACATTTCTCATATCATCCTTGACATTTACAAACCAGCAAGTGCATTTCTCAAGACAATTAGAAGTGGAGGGGAGTCTCTGGAAATTTCTCAAGATCCATGCAGAGATCTACAAGGTCCTTTTAGAAACTCACAAGATAACACAGGTTTCTCAGAAACTTTCTGTACATTTTCTTTTTTCTTTGGATACAATTATAATGCAAACCGTCCATTGCAAATTGTAATCTTGTAATCTTTGTAATCTAACAATGGACAAGAATTTTTTGCATGGTTTTATCATCTGTAATACTTTGGGAAAACTTTGCATAATATCTAATGTATTCCAGCATAGTTTCATCTTTTATCTTTGTCATAAAATGTATCAAATCTATGTCTATCAGACTGAAAACGTCCACCATTAGATGCCAGTATATGACTGCAGGACAGTACCATGAAAGACATTTATCAAAACTATATCAAAAGCTATACTGTAAACAAGTGTTTACATGAGAAGGCAAATGTGCTGCTAAAATGGATTTGTTTTTAGTCATATTTAGAAAATTCATGATAGTCTGAGATATGTAAAACAAATGCTTTGTTTCTTCATAATAACACACACACACACACACACACACACTTTAATAATATTTAATATACCTGTATGGAATAGAGAATAAAAACATTACTATATTTTGATAATTTTATTACTGATATATATTTTATTAAAACAACTGAACCCAATCACATAAATTATTCTGTAAAAATAAAATTCTTTATACTGTATATGCACATTGGAAATAACACAAAGTTTGAATATACAATATGAAATGCACAGTTCAAATAGAAACAGTGTAGCTTCTTTTAGACTGTTGTTCTTTTGTCCACTTTATCAACATGGCCGTTCACCCAGGTGCTCTCTGGATCAACACAGAACTCTTTCCCTGCTTTTGTCTGAAACCTGATGGGAAAGAGACAAAAATAAAATATAGATCAAAAGTTTTTTAAAAATGTTTATGGAGTATCTCATTCAGATTGACTTTACAGTTTGTAAATGAGATAATGTTGATGATACTCACACAATAGCGCGTCTGGCACAGTGTCTGCTGGTCCAGTAGTAAGAAGTTACTTGTTTCATAGGAATCTTCACATCAGTGAGCTCTCCACAACACTTTGAGTGTGCCTCATCAAGACTAATGAAAGCTGAAATGTGGAGAATAAGACAAAAGTTTTCATTTACATCATGTCACACTAATCACAGCATTTAAATCACCAAATGCAGCAAATGAAACCAGATGAAAACTCCCATAGATAATCTGAAAACAATACATTTTTTCTTCATTCAAAAACGAAATTGAAAAAGAGCACTCACCGCTTGAAGTCATCTGCACAGAGCAGAAAAGCATCAGGAACAGCAAACACATCAGGCTTCTCATTCTTCAATGAACAATGACGCAATGAATCAAAAGGAAGTTCTTTAGAGCTTCAAGCTTTCTGTTACACAGTTACAAAAGCATGAATAAAATAGTACTTAACATTTTCATTTAGTTTATTTCAGTGTCCCTTTTTACCCCAATCAGTCTCATTTCGAATCATCAGTATCAAAAATAATCAAATTCTATTGCCTCTACATTTCATTACATTCCCATTGCCTTTTTTAGTTTATATTTGAATGCTTAACAGATTTGGTATTAACAAGTGTTCAGTATTCAATTCAACTATATTTCACATATTACAGTTTTTCTCAGTCGCTTTAGTACATTTCTCAATTCATCCTTAACATTTGCAAACCAGCAAGTGCATTTCTCAAGACAATTCATACAAACAGCATCACACAATGGGTTCCCAAATTGCTCAAAATCCTTAGTTCATCTCTCAAAAGTAAATTTATGTTTATGTTAGTAGTATTTATATCAATGAATGTATCAGTGCCATCAGAATGACAAGTCATTTTTCATCAAGATGTTGAAAGCCATGTTATAATAGTGTACTCTGACAGACAGTACTTCCTGATGCAAACTGTTGCGGTGTTTTGATACCAAAAATTGCACAAGGCTGCACTTTTTTCTGTATTGCATACATAACAGATCATTGACAACCTCACCAATGCCACTGTTTATATTCACGATCTATTACAATAGTCAAAGTATCATTCTATTTTAAATGGTTTCAATTTTATTTTATGGAGTTCACCTGTAAGCGTAATAACAGGAGAAAATGAAGAAACAGGAGAATTGCGTCCACTCTGTCACAGCTCCTCTCATGTACAAAGCTGGTGCATAAATCACTTATTTATTTTCATCCTATATGATCATGCCAAAATAAACTAACCTTTGTATTGTCCATACAAAAGTCACTACACAGTCAGCATTTCACAACTGAAACACAAATAAAACCCTTCAAGCCTGTGCACCAGGAACAGCACAGACATCAGGCTTCTCATTCTTCAAGATGTTTCTTCACAATGACAGAAAGAATCAGTAGAAGTTCTGTAGAGCTTGAAGATCTCAGAGCTGATGTGTTTAGACGTATTCCTCATAAAGACATTCCGATAGACCCATTTCTGAGTATCAACATTGCATGAAAGTAGTTTTTAGTTCCTCCTTTTTTCTGCATTGTCACTCATGTGAAAATGTTCCGAGTACTTTTCTTTCTGATTCACTGAAAATTTGTTTCAGGAAGACACACAGCTTCCTCTTTTCAGGCCTGTCAAGCTCAGCATTAAACGAACAAAAGCAAAAGATTTTATAATAAAATTTGAATTGCACTGTCACCAAATATCAGGTGCTTAACACAGTCCCTTTCCTCACAAGTAAACCCAAAGACCTTGATTAACTGATTCAGTTGTGTTTAATTAAAACACTAAACTTAAGATGTTGGACCACTGGAAAGAAGACTGAGAACCCCTGCTCTAAGAAAACAAAACCACCTCTTAGTTTCTAGTGACACTTGTTGGTCTAATAGAGAAGTTAGAATAATTCAGCATAACTTAAACTGATTCACAGAATTAAAATATGCAAATGTAATGAGGGGAAAAGGGCAGCTTTTCATTTGCAGTTAGTGAACTAAGACAAAAACATTGTGATACTTAAGGGTTTCCATTCACAGTTAAATGTTATTTTGAGTCTGACTAAAATAGTAATTTGTCTTTTTAAAATAACATGTAAACATTCTAGTCTAACTGAAATCATACCAGTCCATTTTTTTTTACAGTAGAGGTTTAGATGTGACTGTGGACTGTGATGCTCTGAAGTAGTAGTATTAGAGATGGTGTGGATTTAGTGGGTGCTGAGCTTTTGACATTTTTCAAACCTGGGACAATCGTGCACACTTACTTTCTGTTGTGTGCATGTTTTCTTAAGTCCCAAGACCTCACATGTTAGTATTGCAGGCCTTGTAGCTCAGCATACATGTGTATTTTTTAAAGATTTATTTATTAGATTTTTTGCATTACCCATTATCAAAGTGTCCTTTAATATTGACTTTTAAATAAAAAATATAATACATTTAAATTAAACGTTTCAAAATGCTTTCAAAATGTATGCAGTAGAAGATAAAAATGTTACTACATGAGGATAATTTCATCATTTATATGTTAGTAAATAACTGAACCCAAACACATAAATCATTTATACAATAGTTGAACATTTGACCCTTATAATAGACTGTTTATTAATAGACTGCTCGCCCTGCAGTCTCTGGCCACAGACCTCTCTCCCTGCAATCGAGGAGAAAGAGTACAAATTACAAAGTACAAATTTAATTCATTCAGAGTCATTCAGATTGACTTAGCAGTCAAAAAATGAAATGTTTGATGAACTGAAAGATTACATTGTTCGTGACACTTCAAAATAACTGATAGTAGCTGAAGTATCACAAATCAGAAAAAAATCATGAATCTGTTTGTTAAAGCAATTTTTCCCCCAAGAAAATTACAAGTATTGGTATCTATCAGACACATCTACAAGTCTTTCATCTGAAGTCTGAGTCAAGTCTGAAGTCTTAAGCTGGAGTCCGAAGTCAAGTCTTAAGTCTTTAAGTCGAGTCGAGGCTGAAGGCTTCATTAATTGTTGCAAATAAATTATAATCCTTAAAAATCCTATTTACGAATGTAGTGATGTTGCTAAAACGTCACCATTATTAATTATGTGGCCAATGAGCGATCGCCCGGTTAGGGTATATAAGTTGGTTGGTTCTGCCTCTTGCTGTGTGTCATGGTCGAAAGCCCGCCCCTTCCTTCCTGTTGTGGCCTTCCAAGGTAGGTGTTTTTAGCCATTTAGCTTAGCTGTCTGGTTGGAGTGTTATTTAGTGATTTGTGCGATCTGTACCTCTTTAGTGTGTTGTTAGGCTGCTGAGATATACTGGGTGCGGTGCGTTGTTGGCTCTCAGGTAAGTTAATGACGTTTGGGAAGCTGGGGGAAATTGTGTTCAGCTTAATATGAGTTTTTGTGTTTCAGTGTGGTGTGCCTTCATGGCTCCCATTGATTGTGGCCTCACAGTGTAACGTAGCCCAGGTCGTAGCACCAGCTGTTGTCGCTGTCACCTTTTAAAGAGGAGCCTTTAAAGAGGTTGTTGTTGTATGATCCTTAGATCTGTTGTCATGAGCATTACACCATCGTATTAACGGGTAGGTAAATCGCTCTAATAGCTAAATAACCTCGGATGTTTTATTGTAGTTGTAATTGTGCTGTGTGTGTGTGTGTTTTGGAATAGGTTGAGCGGAAGTGGTAATTAATACAGCTCGTTTCCTATTCTGCATTGTTCGAGCCACGCTGCTGCTTTTGGGAGTTTAATTACGTCCATGTCTAGTATTCAAGTGGGCTTGATGTTTGTTCGTTTATTTGTTTGTTTTCTGTTTGGCATTTTGTATTGAGTAATTTATCATTTTGTTTTTTTTCTTCCTTCGTGACTCCTCTTTCAAAAGTTGATTTTGTTTTCTTTCGTTTCGTTTGTTGTGAATATGGACCTTCAATTTGTGGTTTATTTTTAATGTGATGTTTTCTTTTTCTTTTAAGTGGCGCAGTCGGCAGGATTATCCACAGAATATTCAGCGGCGTGAAATTCTGTATTTTGTAAGATTTTGTGTGTATCTTACCTCTCTTTCTCTGTTTTTTTTTTTTTTCTTTAGGTCTAAAGCAGCAGCGTGTGCCTTGGAGACTGCAGTTTTTCGATTTGGCTCCTTTTAATGGTTATTTTTTGTATTTAAAAAAAAAAAAAAGAAAACTAATAATAATAAAATAAATAAATCTTACTCCAAACTATTCAGAGTTTATTTTTATAATGTATAACTGTTTTTCCCTCTGCAGGCTTACAATATCCATGTGAATGGTGTCTTGCATTGTCGAGTACGTTACAGCCAACTCCTGGGCCTCCATGAACAGGTGAACACACATTTTCATCATGACCTTAATTTCAGAAATCAGTATTGCACTCACAATGAGAAGTTGCGTCAGGAAAGGGCTTCACGAGATGTTAGTGTTGATGGGCCTAGTACTCCTGCGACGGTGGAGGTATCGTTAATCCCACCATCGACTCGTACTAGTGTCCCAGTAACTGATAGGTTTGTATTCGTGCTGAGAGATCGGAGGTGTCCAAAGTTTAGTGGAAAATCTGGGGTGGGTATAAATGAATGGGTTGAAGAAGCTAGAGCATGTATGCGTGCTCGTTATTTATCCCCTGCAGATCAGGCCTTCTTTCTCTTTTATAATTTGGAAGGAGAGGCGCGAGAAGAGATACGATATAGGTTAGATGAGGTGCGTGGAGATCCTGAGAAAGTTATTAAAGCACTGCGTGAGTTGTATGGATGTTCATTGTCACATGTAGCTCTGCAGGAAGCTTTCTTTTCCCGGAAGAATGTTTTGAAACGATGCTACCAGGAGCTCTTTGGTCAGCATGGCCCTATACTGTTCGATTTGCCAGACGTGTCAAAAGCTCCGCGTTTTGTATTTCAGGCACTACAATTTTGTGACATTAACCATGTAACTAGCACAGATCGTATGGGTACGGTTCGGGTTCGTGGCCATAGGCCGTGTCGCATTCCGGGAGGCATGCTTAAGTTGGTTCCGGCTACCTGCTCAACTGAATATTCTACTGGAGCCGTACTTTTTGAGCCCCCGGAGTCCGGGTTGCCTGCTGGATTGCTGGCTTTTCCAGCCGTAGTTCAGGTAAATCAAGGAATTGCCTATATCCCGGTGGTTAATGTTGGCATGACTGCTGTCAGGCTCTATTCTCGTTCCATGATTGGTACATTAAGCAGTGTTTGTGGTAAGTTTACCCACAGGTGTTACTGAAGTTCAGCCTGTTGTGGCTGTTGTTAGTGCTCAGAATGCGGAGGTGGGACCCACCACCCCAGGAGCAGGTCGAGGCAGTGGACCTGTCAAGTTTATCGGAAGTTGAGCAGAGTCAAGTAAGGACTCTACTGTATAAATTTCAGTGTGTTCTCTACCTGGGAAGGAGACTTGGGATGTACTAACTTGATTTCCCATGATATCCCCTTGGTAGACGATACTCCGATTCGGCAGCGTTTCCGGCGAATACCCCCATCGGAGTATGAAGTAATAAAGGCCCACATAAACCAGTTATTGGAGGCTGAGATCATCCGGGAAAGTTGTAGCCCATATGCCTCACCAATCGTGTTGGTTAAAAAGAAAGATGGTAGTCTGCGCATGTGTGTGGACTACCGTCAGCTTAATGCTATAACTAGGAAAGACGCCTTCCCTTTACCCCGGATTGATGAGTCCTTAGACTCCTTGAGTGGTGCTTGTTGGTTTTCGACCCTTGATCTGGCCAGCGGGTATAATCAGGTTCCAGTGGCAGAAGAAGATCGTTTTAAGACCGCCTTTTGTACACCTTTTGGACTCTTTGAGTTGAACCGTATGCCCGTCGACCTGTGTAACGCCCCAGGTACCTTTCAAAGGTTAATGCAGAGGTTGTTCAGGGACCAACAGTGCCAATCTTTACTTTTATATCTGGATGATGTGGTGATATTTTCTGCATCTGTGGCTCAACATTTGGAACGCTTGGAGGTAGTCTTAAGTCGTTTAGAACGGGAAGGACTTAAGGTAAAGTTAAGTAAGTGTGCATTTTTCAAAAGGGATGTGAAGTATTTGGGTCATGTTATATCGGCCGAGGGGGTGTCCACCGACCCGGCAAAGATTGAGGCTGTGGCTGAATGGCGACGTCTGTCTAAGGTGGCAGAGTTGCGTTCGTTTCTGGGTTTTGCGAGCTATTATCGCCGCTTTGTGGAGGGGTTTGCCAAATTGGCTGACCCCCTGCATAAGCTGGTGGCAGAGTGTGCCGGACCGAGAAAACGGGACAATCAGAGGCTTTTGAAGGCCTGGACCGAGCAGTGTCAGGAGAGCTTTGAGGGATTGAAGGGTAGGTTGTCCACCGCACCGGTGTTAGCATATGCAGATTTCTCCCTCCCCTTTATCCTGGAGGTGGATGCTAGCCATAGTGGGCTTGGGGCAGTCCTCTCACAGGAACAAGGAGATAAGGTGTGCCCTATTGCTTACGCCAGCCACAGTCTTAGGCCCACTGAGCGCAACATGACCAATTATAGCTCCATGAAATTGGAGTTAGTGGCGCTCAAGTGGGCCATGACTGAAAAGTTTAGGGAGTATTTGTTGGGGCAGAAGTGCATTGTTTTCACAGACAACAATCCCCTTAGCTACCTGACATCTGCTAAACTGGGGGCCACAGAACAACGCTGGGCTGCGCAGTTGGCCTCTTGACTTCGATATTCGATATCGTCCGGGGAGGAGTAATCAGAATGCTGATGCTCTCTCTAGACAAAATCAGTTTTGTCAGGAGACACCAGAACGGTTCTTAGCAGGCACTGTTATCCCAGTATCGGTAAGGCAGGCAGCGGAGGTAGGATCTGTGGTACAGGCTGATCAAGCCGTAATTACAGCCTTGCCTTGTTCTTCTAGTGAAGATCTGAGTTTGCTGCAGAAGGAGGATCCTGACATCCAAGGGGTTTTAGCGTTTTGGGAGCAGGGATTATTCCCTAGTTTTGAGGAGCGTAAACAGCTCCCCAAGTCTGTTTTGACACTTGTCCGGCAATGGGACCGCCTCCTGAAGAAGGATGGGCTCCTTTATCGCCGTGTGTCACGCCCTGATGGAGGTGAGGAAGTTCTGCAGGTAATCTTGCCGACAGCTCTAAAGCAGGATGTATTGACTCAGCTGCATGGACACCAGGGCGTTGAACGTACTACCGAATTGATACGTTAGCGGTGTTATTGGCCAGGGATGGCAGCAGAGGTAGCACAGTGGTGTCGGGAATGCGAGCGATGTCAATTGGCTAAAGATCTCCAACCACCTGCTCGGGGTTTTATGGGCCATGTCTTGGCTTCTAAGCCAAATGAGATCTTGGCAATTGATTTTACGATGCTGGAGCCTTCTTGTTCTGGACACGAGAATGTTCTGGTTTTAACAGATGTGTTCAGTAAGTACACACTGGCTGTTCCAACTAAGTATCAACGGGCTGAGACTGTAGTACAAGTTTTGGTTACAGAGTGGTTTTTTAAATTTGGGGTTCCTGGTCGTATTCACTCTGACCAAGGTCAGAATTTCGAGTCGGCCCTTATGAAACAACTTTGTACCTTTTATGGGATAAAAAAATTCCGTGCTATGCCCTATCATCCGGCCGGCAACGGTCCGTGTGAGCGATTCAATAGAACCCTCCATAATCTTTTGCGCACTCTACCTGTCTCCAGGAAAAGAGATTGGGCATCTTGCCTCCCACAGGTTTTGTTCTGCTATAACACCACTCATCACCAGGCTACGGGTGAGTCCCCATATTTTCTGATGTTTGGCCAGGAGCCAAGGCTCCCTGTGGATTTCTTGTTGGGTAGGGTCCCGGAGCCTGGGGAAGGGGGAATTCATGAGTGGATTGTAGAACATCAGACAAGAATGCAGGTGGCGTTTGAGGGGGCACGGGAGCGCCTAAGAGTTGCTGCCGAACGCCGCAAGAAACAGTATGACCAGCATGTGCATGATGCACCACTGAGGGAGGGTCAACTGATTTATCTCCGGGATCATAGTGGGAGAGGTCGTCACAAACTTCAGGACCTGTGGAGCTCAGTGGTGTATCGGGTTGTGCGGGCACCAAAAGATGGAGGGTCTGTGTACGTTGTCGCCCCTGTGGATGATCTGGGTAGGATTAAGCATGTTCATCGTTCTCTGATGAGGACTCGAATACAGCGAGCCCCCTCAGTTGTTGTTTGTTGCTATGGTCCCCCAACTAGGCATCGGTTTTCATCAGGGGACTCAGAGGAACTGGATTTTTGCATGGTCGCCCCAGAAGTCCTTCAGGTTGGGTCAGGGCAGAATAGGGGGGTTTGTTCTGTTGCTCCAGAACTATCGGCAGCTCCTGCGGGGGGAAATTGTGTGTTCAGCTTAATGAGTTTTTGTGTTTCAGTGTGGTGTGCCTTCGTGGCTCCCATTGATTGTGGCCTCACAGTGTAACGTAGACCAGGTCGTAACACCAGCTGTTGTCGCTGTCACCTTTTAAAGAGGAGCCTTTAAAGAGGTTGTTGTTGTATGATCCTTAGATCTGTTGTCATGAGCATTACACCATCGTATTAACGGGTAGGTAAATCGCTCTAATAGCTAAATAACCTCGGATGTTTTATTGTAGTTGTAATTGTGCTGTGTGTGTGTTTTGGAATAGGTTGAGCGGAAGTGGTAATTAATACAGCTCGTTTCCTATTCTGCATTGTTCGAGCCACGCTGCTGCTTTTGGGAGTTTAATTACGTCCATGTCTAGTATTCAAGTGGGCTTGATGTTTGTTCGTTTATTTGTTTGTTTTCTGTTTGGTATTTTGTTTTG